CCTAATGGACGTTTGTGTATACTGACCATAAGACAGTTTGGACATCTCGTCGTAGATTTGCGAACTGATAGCATAGCTTTCGACATTCATAAGTGCTTGTAGCACAGCATATTTCGAATTAATAATGTTAAATTCGATAAATTTTAAATTGGATCGTAGAAAAATTATTGGGTTACGGATTCCATAACTCCCTAGTTCATATACATATGCTGAAATTCATTATTTTTAGGTTTACGTATCCAAAAGGTAAAACGGGTATCCTATTAATAAGACTTCGCTGTTTGTCTCTTTGTCACCGGGCTGTATCTCATGAACCCTGAAAGTTATACAGCTGAAATTTTCACAGAAGATGTATTTCCTTTGCCGCTTCAACAACAAATAAACCAAAATGATTAAAGGGGCTCCCAGCATTTTTTTTTAAAGTTGTTGGGTGCTTTAACAGTCTTACCAGCCACGTTAAAGAAAATATGTAACTACATAAAAACTAATGTCCTACTTAGAACCCTTCTAAGCCCCTACGTAAAGCCAGCAATATTATCCGAAAAAGACATCGTACGAAAGCAATTTTTATGAAATTGTCAGACTGGAAAGGGGCATTATATATAAACGTTCTGTGAAAGGACTTTAGGCAAGTTGTTTTTTTTTACACGATTCGGGTATTAATCATAGCTATGTGATCGATTCGGTATCGATAAACACTAATAAATAGGCAAACAATGATCGTTTGGTTGCACAATGTTATCTCTCAATGATTATATCCACACGAATGAGCAGCCATTATAAATGCATCAATCATAGCTGCACAATTCGTAAAAACGTGTTATGACTTTTACGTACATTCAACTCGCACTTAGTGAGCTATCAGCTGCTACTTAACATTGACCTGTCTAGAGATAACAAGTAGGTATATATTATATATAATAATAATAATTTACAATCGTAAAATACTTTCTCTTTCATTATGATTACCGATCAAATCATAATTTTCTTGCACCTAATAAAAACTAATGTAATGCAGTACTCGGCAAGTGAAGTGTGAGTTTTGTACGAAGTATGGTTTTCTTTGCTTGTAGTTAATGATAATCATGGGATGATGTCATTTTAAATCTTGTTGGTACGTATAACAATGAAGTACGAACGTGACTTTGCGTTAAGTTTAAGAGAGATCAAAATTACTCGTAAATACATATAATACCTAACTAAAGAAAGTAATCAATAGTGTGGTTTATGTAAAATATATAGTAATAATATTCCATTTTATATCTCTCCCCGACTTTAAAGATTATCTAAGAATGTGACTGTACTGACTGTATACATTGCAGAAATATTGCTCGTCGCAAATCTTCCTTTAGTGACTCAGCTGAATAGTTTTATTATAGCTAAATTAGAATTTATATAGAAAAAAATGATTCAAAGTATAGGTTGCCAAAATTTGTCACTTGATTTATCTTTGTTCGAAATAAGTAGCGAGTATGTTGCAAACAGACGAACAGAAATTTATAAAATAAGCGAAGGTTACTTAAAAAAATCTTATTCTGTCGAAAAATTAATCGAGAAACAGGATCACGTGGGGGAAAACCGTTCCAGCTAAAGACAACGATCACAAGTTCCGAAATGGTCTTTACACTACCGATTGTTCTTTCGAGACAATAATATTATTCAATTGAATAATTCCTCTAGGCGGCCTTGTGTTAAAAGCGTTATCAAAGCATGGCAATTTGCTGTTCGAATCAGACGCATCCTGAACACAACACCCACATGCCTATATTGTTTGTCTCTCTTAATGTTGATGTCAACAAAATAGGTCTGATAGATCTTTAATAGAAAAGGCTACTAACAAATGGATCGAAATAGCTAGCTCCATTAAACGATAATAAAAATATCAAAGAGCATTTTTAATCATTTTAATACCTTTACCAACGTTAAGTTGGTATGAACTATTAATAAGTTATTTTTACACAAGTGTTTCAATAGTTGGAGCATATAAAATAAAACATGTACAAATAAAAATATCGTAAATTTTTTATTTTAAAATAAGGATTTCTTTAATTATAAATTAAGCATTACCTATATAATATACTGAACGTTGATCAGCCATATAGTAATGAAATTACATTTTGCTTCAAAGTGGCTAAAACGTACGTTTTTATTTTTTGTACAGCGACCCGCGGTTTGTATGCTTCGTGAATAATGATGACATGATGTAAATCAAACTAGGTGGTAGGGAGGTTTTTCATTCTTATGCACTGTTTGCTGAAGAGCTGGAAACTTTCCGAGAGACTGGAGACTTATCATTGTTCTCTTATACACATGAGCTGCTCCAACACCAGAACCTTTAGTTTGATCAGCTTAGTAGACAAAGTGTACAGAAAAATACTAAAAAGGAGAAAGAGGATAAATTTCGTTGGAATACCGTGGGAGGCTCAAGAAGGATTCAGATATAGAACCTAAAACATAAAATCAACTTTTCTAGCTTCGTAAAATCGAAGAGAAGTATCGCCTTAAACCAGAAAATTTTCGTAGATACACGTAGTTGACTCCAGCGAATAAAGTCTATAAATGTGGATTGCGAATAGGCAAGTTAGTTGTTAGATTTAATTTGCAGATGACGCCGATATACATTCAGAAAATCCACCCGATCTGCAAACTTTATGCACGATGAAAGTCTTTGAATGCGAAGAAAGCAATGATGATTACCACAATCGATTTGACAGTTTGGGGTGTACACCCCAATGGTGTATACCCCAAACTGTCAAATCGATTGTGTTGGAAGATGAAGGGCCCGTTGAAAGGTGATGTCAGAAGTCAAAATAACTAGCGATCATTCACGAAAAACAAATGAATGACGAGGAAGCGGATGACTTATGCCTACTCCACATGAGATCAGGCATGAACATATAGATGAGATATTCGCACTTTTTCGCCGTTACCACAGATATGAAGGCACTGTGCCCAATTACTTTTATTTATTTCATTTTGATGAAATTGCTGGTATTATTTCAACTGTACACCCTTTCAATTTTTTATTTTAAATTTTCAATTGTTTATTTTATTTACATTGCAAGTTTCGGAGACACTTGACAGATTACAATTCAATAGTGATAACACATTCTATAATTGGAGTTTGCTTGTTTAATTTGGTACCCTTTTGAATGTGGCACTGTGTGCAAAATCATTTAACTATAGTACTAATATTAGCACCACACATATAGAAGATACAGTAAACAGCATGTCAGGTTATACAAATCTATCAGATCTATCAGATTTTACCACATGTTCTGGTAAGCTGATAGCTGAGTAGCGATATAAATGAAAGGCTTGTAAGATTAGTAGTTAGGAAGAACAATAGTGGTTAGATTCTTATGGCTGTAGTCACTAATAATGTTCTCTTGCATTTACTGACAAAGCAGCTTAATTAGTGGCATCTCCAAAATTAATCAAAATTAGTGAGTGTAGTTAGTTATACATGCACTTGTAAAAGAAAAAATAATATTTTACTGATTCACAAATATATACACAAAATTTGTTTTGTATAAAAAATACCTATAATTTTTAGAGAACTAGAAACATTGTAATAAAAATTATTTTGCATTTGAATACTTCACATTTAAATAACATTTTTTGGGTTATTGATTGGGCAAAGGAGCTGATTTTGGTTTTGATATGTTTGGCATTGTCCAGGCAAGGTTTAAACGGAGAGATGTGATACAATGTCCCCTAGGTAATCTAGCATGCCATAAAATTATGTAGTACAATTAAATAAAAGCACTGGCATACAAAAAATTTACTTGGCCTGTAAATATTAAAAAAATATATAATTTGTGTTATGCATAAATTCTATTAGGAAATTGTTTATTGTTAAAAATAATAGTCAATAATTCTCTCATAGCAAAATTATTTACATATGAGACTTATGATTATTAATTACATTTTGTATCTTAATTCGGTAAGAGACTGGAACCCGAAATTGGTTTCAGTAGAAAACTGTGTTGGTCTATAATATGATCAAATACAACATGTTTGTGATTCTGTGGCTTGATATATATTCTTTTTATTCAAATTTATTTAAAACAATCCAATAGTATACTACATCTTCCCTATCTTCACTATACTATGAACATTAATGAAATGTTCTTAAAAATATAATTTATTATTCTTTAGTAATTCTATTTTTATTACTACTTGAAACAAAAAATTATTATTTAATAACAATCAGTTTAGGCCCTGATATACATTTTTTACACTGGGGCAGAAACCTAGTAAGGCACCCTTCTTCTACCCTTCATCCCTCCCCCCTGGCTCCGTGAAGCCAAATTTTATATTATGATAATATCCTTTCATTTCATTTGGCGATTTTTAAGAATATCAGTTTCAAAATGGCCTAAAATGTAAATAGCAAGATTTGTAAAGTAAATAGGTATTAAATAATGATGATTTTGACGCCCTCCTAACACTGACACCCTAGGCAAGTGCCCCCGTTTGCCCCCTCCCACCCTAGATCCAGACGTGATCAGTTTAAAATATTAGGCAATAGGACAAATACCCATTGCAATAATAAACCAAAACGAAAAACAAGATCTAATACTATTTTTGGTGAGACTCACTTCGAGCAACTCAAATATTCTCCTTTAGTTGTAAAACAGACTTTCTGTAGATTATTTATCTATCTATAGTTCAAAGACATTTATTTATGAAAACTATGTTTGTCCTTAGATGTATATGAATACAGTTTGTAAGCACGCAAGCCATTATGAATATGAAACTCGTTTCATTACAGATGAATGGATTTATTAGACATAAATGAAAGCAAAACAATTAGATAAGACGCCGGTTGCAATACTAAGCGTGTCATCTAGTAGTATTTATATTTTTTGCATCGTTATTGAGTAAAGAATAAAGAAATAAACGACCTATTTTTTGTGTACGAAATGGTGATAACATTGGTTTACGAAACTTAAATTAAACGACGTTTAAATAGGTTTTTATATTATGATATTCACCTGGGAATGCAATTGGACGGCGTTCTGTCCACTTCCCAGGCTGCAAAAAGTTTCATGGGAACAGGTTTCGATGCATTAGTCATCTTTTCAGATTTATTTTTCTCGGTCATTGTAAATCAGCACCAAATACAATATATTTCACAACACAGCACTCTCGTCAGAAACTACTTGCATTGTTATTTAACCACAAAACACTGCACCGGAGTTGTTTTCATTGTTCCAGTAAGAATACGAAACCGATCTCGTTTAAACACAACAACACACAATAAATCTAAGACACAACTTTGTCTTGATCGAAGCTTCGGCTCGTCAACCAATATTAAGTACAACTAGACGTACAACTAAATAGGGATGCCATAATGAAATCGATAAAAAATAATCGATTCTTAAAATCATAGTTTTTACATCATTACAAATTGTTTTCGTCATTGACCCTCAATTACTAGAAAATATATAGTATGTTTCATAACTTAAAATTTTACTCCCATTAAGAAAAATAACAATTTTATTTTAATTTACACATTTAAATATTATTCACACATTTAAATAGTAGTCAAAATATTATTCAATCAATTTTGAAATTTATACATTATTAAAAAATAACTCAGATTATCAATGTATTTGGACTTTTATACTTGATCCATTTTGCATTCACAGTGCTATATTGGAAAATATATATTAATAAAAATGTATCTCAGATTATCAATGTATTTGGTCTTCTTAAGAATCAAAGTTGCCTGGAAGAGATCACTTTTAGTGATAAAGCCGCCAATTGTACGTCTTCTGTTTTCGTCATCTATGTGTATTTTGTCTTTGTGTGTACAATAAAGAATATTCTATCTATCTATCTTTTGTGGATTAATTAAAATTATGTGTAGGCATTCTTAATGATATATGCTTAAAAAATCCACTTTGTCCCTAATACTCTGAGATTAGATTCCTCAATCCTAGTAGGTCCTGGGTAGCTTAGTGATTAGAGCAGTCGCCCGGATTACGAAAAGTCATGGGTTTGAGTCCCATCTCCAAATGCCAGGGACAAAGTGAATTTTTTAAGCATTTTTCATTAAGAAAATTTACAGTATAACTTTGTGAATGCAAAATTGGTTAAATATCTGTGATTTATATTTACAAAAGTATTACAAAAATTCAGCCTGGCATTAGTATACTTTTCACTATGTATACTAATGCCAGGCTGAATTTATATAACTGATTTGATGCAATTTATCATAGTGGTTGTTATAAGTAAATCTATGAAAACATTAAAATAATAATCTATTAATTTATCCATATATAAAAACCTATATTAAATTAGTAAAGCTTCCTAATACTATCAAGAATTTATTTTGTTTTAGGGAAATCAAGTTGTCATCTATTATACAGATTTATTGCAATCGATTGAAAATCGATAATTTTTAGGTGAACGGACATCTCTACTATCTACTCACACGAAAGCGTTCGATACATTTGACATAACCATTTTTCAGTGTTGCCAAACAAAATCATTATCCTCCCTTAAATTGTTAAATTTGCAGTTACAAACAACATGGAAAATATAACAACTTAAAGCGCTATTTTATGTCCAAGTATAATACGCATAAGTCAACACCGAAAAATCATGGTAGAGAAAAACAATGTTATCCTTTTCCAAACTTTTAAAATGAGATCTTTCACTGATAGAGTATATTGACGACATTTTCATAATCCAAAATGTAATAAAGTCACTTAATTACTTACTGATTTTTACGAAATATGTCATATTAATATTTTAATAAAGCTTTTTCTAATGATACCCGTTCAATAATTATTTATAAAATCAACTTTTTGGGTAAAAAAACTATAGTAACAACACTTATATCGGAACGTCAAATTACTCTTTTATTATTTATCACTAAGGCATTTAACATAAAAGTCCTATTCAATGGTATTGTATTAAATACACATTAGTGTATAACTATAGTCCGTTTCGCATAGAATATGTACGGTGACTTTTGTTAACATATTTATTCACGCAATTTGTATTTAAAAAAAATATTCGACTATGTATAAATTGGATATTTTTTTAAAATTTGCATATTAAAACATAATTACTGAAATCTAACTCTCTGAAATTTAAAACATCAACACTTGTAACGAAAATTGGAATGTTTTTAATAGGGATTGATCAATCATTCAAAATCGTTTTAATCGAAATATGTATTCGGCTGTCTTTTCAATCCCTATTCTATGAGAATTAGAATATATTAGAATTGAATATATACTAATATTTAATTACCACATCACTAACGGTCGGTTGGTTAATATTATAGTAGCACAAACTCCATTAAGGTTTAATTAGGCCTTTAAGTTCTAATGAATGTCTGATTTGTAACGGTAACCACGACGCTTTAAACAAATGTCAATTTTAATGGACGTTTGTTAATACCTTTAAATCCCAAACGTCACCATACCATACCCATGCTACCCATAAAATCATGTAAATTCAAATTTTATATCAATATTTTGATTAATTATGCATTCACAATGCCATATTGAAAATTATTCTTAATACTGCTTGCTAATTTAATACTAAATGCTTAAAAACTCCTCTTGATCCCTGGCACCCTGAGATGGGAATCATATTCAATATTGGAGTCAAAACTATATATTTTTTTTGAAACTTTAGGTATATTTTTTTTAATCGATATGTATTCGGTAACCTCGAACAACCCTAACTCTTACAAAGGTTTTGAATCCTAAGAATATTTGAATATTGCTATTTCACTCGCTCACAATTCCAAATCACAAATCGGATCGATTCTGATTTTATAGATATTATATTATAAGAATCTGTTATATTTTTGATGAAAATAAAGTTATAGTAAATCTATATGTTCGTTATGGAAATAAATTTTCCGCGCTAAATTCACAAAACATTTTTCCTGTTTACCACCCAAGCATTATTTACCAAGTTTTTTTTTGGAGTAGATATTGAAAACGTTTGTGACTTCTTTATGGAGATATCTTTATAAATTCACACATTTTCACGATGTAGTTTTTTCATTTCTAATCACAGCTATGTAGACCTGAAACTGAAAACAATCATTTTTGGCATACGCGCCTTCTTAAATAAAATACTGGACTACGATTATTAAAAAAAAAACGAATAAAACGCATATTTAAACATAAATGTAAACTTTATTTACCAATACCTTACTCAATATAAAAAACAATAATATCAAATTATAAATATAAAGAAATGTTTTCCAGATATACACTATTTTGAACACAATTCATTACCTATAAGTAAATGTAAAATCGGCATTAGAAAAATGATAATGATATATATATATTATTAATATATATTCACAATCAAAGTAAAGTAGACAAATTATGTCATTGACGCATCTACAATAACAATACTATCAAATAGCTCAAAACTAGGTATCTGTCCTGTCACCATTTCTGGGCATAAACTTATTGTTATTTATTAGTGAAAAATAATCCTGCATTACTAAGGATAAAAACAACTACTGAAGGTGTAAATAACCTTTGACGATGTGGTTCAAAATAAAATTCCATTTAAGCTTAAAGCAAAACAAAAAGCGAAGATATGGGACTTCTGCTTCTAAGATCCTAACATTTGGTCAGGTTAAGGTGCCGTTGTCGTTTTGCAACATGTCTTTGAGACCCAAACAAGCGCCATATTTTCTTACTTTAAAATTAAATATTTTTCTTTACAACTTAGTATTATAATAATGATAATAACATTCTACATTCGTGTTTCACATGATAGTACAAATGTTAAATAATTTCAGGGAAGTTTCGCAAAGATTGCGATCGTAATTGAACCGATTTTGGTTACTAGCCAATAGCGATCGTTCTTTTAACCATAATAATGAGTCTCTACAATTAAATGTACTTCATCGCTATAACATATTTCAAGTTGTCAATAGTCGTTCGTTAGTAATCAAATTAAATGTAGAATGTCTTTTACATATATGCAGCATTTTATAATATATAGTAGCATAATAACATTTACAAAATAGTAAAAAAATCTAGGCCTAGAAATATATGTATTATATTTAGAGGCGCGTAGTAAAAATTACTTTAGTATTAGTTGCACATCAGAATTCGAATTTCTGCAATCAATTTTACACTTAATTACGAGCTGATTAAGGCTTACAATTTGAGAAGTATGGCCATTTAGTACTTTATCGTGCTTTTATTCGACTCTCCATTAAAGATAAGAAAGTGGCGATAGATCGAACGCTTTATTGGCATATAAAGTGCAATGAATTGTTTCAAATGAGAATAGGGGTGCTCAACAAAGAATTCTATGTATACTACTACACAAGCTTTTCTGAACTCAAATTGTGACACAGTATGAGCGGGCGGGCATGGGCGCGTTACCGTCATAAGGAGTAAGCGAGACGGCAATACAGTCGACTAAACGATGTGTTCTGTCAACCTTAGCAAGTAATTTTCCAGTACCCAGATTGTCTAGTAGTATACGTAGAAGTCTTTGAGGGTCAATCGTACATTCATTCATTTAGCGACTTCGGGTGGGCAGTCGGGTTGAGCCGACGGGTGGGCCGCGCGAAATGCAGGGTGATTTTCTAATTCGCGATCGATGCGAAGGATTATGGGGAACGGTCGCAGGTCGACGTGAAATCTGAAATCATTACCAGTTTTCAAAAATAAATATCGGTATCTATTATAAAATTTTCCAACCAGTGACATGTAGGTCTTTACAATAAATTCTTAAGAGGGGGCGTAATGCTACTGTCACTGTCTATGTGTACGAGAAAGGATAGACTTGTGTGTAAATAATTACTCTCTATGTTAGAGATTTTGAGTGTACACACCCTCTTAAAGTTATGCATCAAAAGCGGCTGAATAAAATGGCGCCATACACTATCGGCCAGTTGCACAAATTAGGTTTAATGAGGCCTTTAAGCTCTAATGATTGTCAATATAGGTTATGTCGCTTTAAATTAATGACAATTTTAATGGATGTGTGGCGACTGATACATAGCGACATCTAATTCATCGGAGTAACATCGCCACAACAATCGATAGCTAGAAGACTAGCATCGTCACAGCCATCGATAGCAAGACGAACTGCAATAAGTTTCAACAGCAAGTAACGAGATGGCGCTGTACCAATACAAACAGCATAAAATTAATAACTACAAGACATTTAGAACAAAGAAACCTACATCACACAGAATAAGTTTAATTATCAATTAACATAAATAGAACGTCCAACCTACATCGGTTGGACCGCGGTCCCCGGGCTAACAACACCTAGCTCGGAGGGAGACAATTATCCTTTAGTTTCCCTGGCCAGTTGTCTCCATCACCACAATAAGGATCCCAACCTCCAACCTTACGGTCCTAAAGTGGTGACCCCAACAGAACATCAGCAACCTTCAGCATCACAACGCAGCCATCACTCTTCATCAACAGCCTCTCACCCTCCATCATCAGCCTCGCATCCCTCCCCAGCACAGCCACTTCAACAGCAAGTCAGCCAACACCAAGGTCCATCACAGCAGCATCGACGAGACGCTTCCTGGATACTTGGTACCACTCGACGGCATCATCCCGACCTGGTCCTCGCAGCCCACGACCGGACCTCAGTTCACACACAACTCACCGGCGTGGCAGCCCTGCACACCAGCAGCTTCGGTCCCGACGTCACAACCTGGCACTTGCAAGCTCTGAAGCACTGACTGCATACCACCTACTATCAACATGGATCGACCTTCGGTCTAGGGGGAAAGTACTGTGGCGACTGATACATAGCGACATCTAATTCATCGGAGTAACATCGCCACAACAATCGATAGCTAGAAGACTAGCATCGTCACAGCCATCGATAGCAAGACGAACTGCAATAAGTTTCAACAGCAAGTAACGAGATGGCGCTGTACCAATACAAACAGCATAAAATTAATAACTACAAGACATTTAGAACAAAGAAACCTACATCACACAGAATAAGTTTAATTATCAATTAACATAAATAGAACGTCCAACCTACATCGGTTGGACCGCGGTCCCCGGGCTAACAACACCTAGCTCGGAGGGAGACAATTATCCTTTAGTTTCCCTGGCCAGTTGTCTCCATCACCACAGTTGGAACCACACATTCAACCCAAGGTTCCTTAAGATGTTTGTGCAACTGGCTGTATGTTAGGCAGACATTATAAGAACTTATAGTAGACCATATTATAAAGCATACATTCCAAACATAATAATAAATTTTACATACAATTATGCTGGTATACAAATATTTCTGAATTGTAATTGTGAAAATTCAAGACATACTCAATGACAAATAATTATTTACTTATTACAGATAAAAGAAACAGAATAGTTTACCTTCTAGCATTAAAGACTTGTGGTACCAAACAGCAATCAGCTAGTGTTATGTCATCACCCACACAGTATTTGCCAGCAGAAGAGGAAAGCAGCTTCTCTACAGCCCTAAAACCCCTTGTGATCCAGTGCTGGGCCCATTCTTTCTTTTTTTCTTCTCCTACATGTATCAAAACTATCAGATTCTGTAGAGGCTGAATGCCTGAAGATATAACCTGAAAAATATTTGTGTGTGTGAATATGACAATAGAGATGATAATAATATATATTTTTAATCATTGTGTAGATTATTGAAAAATATGAAACAATTTTTTTTTTACTTTTTGCAACATGATATTTTGTGCCATGAATTCACTTCAATAGTTAACATGTGATTTCATATGATGTTTGTCCTACATGAACCAAAATATTTATAACTTCCTTATTGTATAAATAATTCAACTTACTTCACATATTTCTCGTACTTTAGCACGTTTAAAACAGTCTTGAGGCATCAGAGGTCTTTGAGGTCTAGTTTCTTCCAAATAATGCATTATGCTTAAAGATTCTACCAAAGTATGGCCATCTGTAAAAAAGTAATTAAACTTGTAGGACACCTTCATTAAAATTTTGATGTTATAATTTCATATACACCTATTGTTTACTAAAACTATTTAATACACATACTCAAACATCTCTTTTATTTAATTTAGATTTAATCAAGACTGGGACTTATCAAAGCTACATGAACAACTTAAAAAGAGACTGCTTTGTCTACTTCTAACATTATATCTGATATGTTATTGAAACTCATTTGTATGCAATGCAGTATATGTTCTGAATAGATACTTTACCAATACATAGGGATGGTACTTGCTCCATAGGATTGACTTCTCGATACTCATTGCAGTGTTGTTCCCCACCACCTTTGATCAAGCTAACAGCCTTTATATCATAAGGTATCTCCTTGAGATTGAGAGCAATCCGGACACGCCACGAGCATGAGCTTCGCCAGTACGAATACAGTACTGGCTAAAATAAAATTATAAATATATTGACTACTTGGATAAACCATTTCTTATATAAAATAATGCACTACTTTTTATATTCTAGAGACATCTTTTATAATTAATATAATGGTGTTAATAACTTGCTGTTTTCAATAAATAAGGGAAATAAATTTATGAACTCCAGTTACTTACAATGCTTACCACTTTTTCTGCCATTTTCCGAAACTTTTAGTTATTGGAGTGTAGTTAATTTTAAAAGGAATGTGAGATCTAATGATGTTGAATATCAACTACACCAAAAACTAGTTTAGCATCCAGAAAAACAAGTATATATGCAAATTTTTCTTTATAAGTTTAATAAATCTGAATAGATGTTTGTTTGAAAATTTAAACTATGTAGTCTCTAGATTTAGAAAAATATTTTTTACATACCGTTGATACATAACCGCTTTATACATTTGATAGTTCAATTCTTGAGAGAGGTTAAAAGACATTACTTTTATTGAAAAATGGGAAAATCAAATAAATATATGGTGAAGTCAATGAGCACAACTAGTTATATTACATTCTAATGTAGCTCTATGACTACACTACACTAACACATCAAATAAACAGGCGTTATATATCGAACTCTTACCTTAGCCATGCTCGATATATTTCCGTTATATTTTGAGTAGAAAGCAATTTTGATGGCTTAATTATACTATTTACAAAATATTGAAACGCTTATTATTTGAAAATTGTAAACAATAGCAAAAAATAGTTTGTATAAAAACTCCTACAATAATATGCTTAGCACAGTAGCATAATATGTCATTTAGGGCTGCAGGATGTATCGGAAAACCGATATTATATCGATAGAGCGATATCGAAAAATACATATCAATATCCTTTAATTGAAATGCAATTGAATAGGGTCATTCAATTAGAAAGCTAGCCACTCAATAGGTTATTCGAAAATAAGTTGCATGTTGTGGTCATCCTATTAGATATAATTATTATAAAGTTTTTTTTTTCTTAGAATATGCAGACAGAATATGTTTAGCTTCAGTAAAATAAAGTAAAGAATTCACAACATTTTCTAGAAATTTAATGAACAATGAAAACGCCCTGTAGTCTGTTGTTTTCTTTGTAAGTAAAAAGTTGATAAATAGGTTGTGTCGCCTTACATATTGAGAGGCATGTGACGTCAGAATTAACACGTGATCAGCACAATTACATAGAGCAGTGTTTTTACGCTATTTTAGAAATTTATTTATTACTGTAACAATTATTTTCATTGAAACTAGAACTGATTCTCATGAAATATATTGACAGTGTTTATTATGAAACAAACAATCATTTCAAATAGTTTTAAATAAAGCGTCAAATTCCCTCAATGCAACATACACAAACATATATTAAACCTAACTACAATACTCCTTTTTTAAGCTGTCATGTAATCAACGGTAATGTGTGAGGAATCATGATTCTACCTATTCGATTTGATGCCATCTATTGGGTAGGCCTGTGAGCCAGCAGTGTGTATAGGCTGATGTTAGTTGAGAAATTATTGTTATATCAGCCGCTAAACTAGCACTAACTGTCACAATAGAATTATTAACTGAATCGAATCTTATGATGAGATCCATCGTCATCTTTGATTCATTTCATTTTCATTTTACATGTAGAAACTAATTTATTTACTGGACATTGGCAGAATTGTGCGAAATGCGCAGATAATCCATTAATAAAAGAAGAAGAAGAAGAAGAATCTTATGATCACCTTCATTCTTTAGACTTATATACTTTTACTATTTTGACTTCATTCGATTTAGATTTCAAATTTTTTAATCGATATGGCAATTGTTTCTGTGAATCGCCATATATCGATATCTCGATATATCGTTGCATCCCTAAAGTAACCCAAAAAATGTAAGAAATCATGCGAAATTGTTTTATTCTATAATTTTAAACTTTTAACTTTTAATAAAATAGAAAATAGTTAAATTTATTATAATGGGGAAAAATAATAAGAAAGGACCAATAGCCAATGTGTTTAAAGTGGCAGGAGCAAAAAGCCTAAAGAAAACTAAAGCTAAAGCAGTGAATTTGGGTTTAAAAAATGTAAGCAAACTACAGATGTAACTTTTGTTTACCCCTTTATATTTGTTGGTGTTTAGGAGTTAAATATCTTTACTCTATATGTAAAATATAACATTGTTTACATATAAAGTATAACTAAATCTCGAATAAAAAATCTAAACATGAAGCTATTTTATTTTCAGTTAAAGCAGAAGGTCGTCGATTTAGATAAGCAGTTTTTAAATGATAAAAAGAATCCTGCAACCAATAATAATGCAAAACCAAAAGTGGCACCCATTGAGAAAAAAATTGAACAGAAAGTGACAAAAGAGGATGTTGCAAATACTACAGTGAAAATTGATAAGATGGACATATTATGATCAAATTTCTGAAAACTGTGTTTAGGTACTTAAGTGCATTATATAAGGTTAAGATTAAGGAAAGCAATTAAATGATATTTGTAAATATGATATTGATTTGTTAATAATTAACTTATATCTGTTAATAATGTGAGTATTGATAACTGTCACATATTTGAGAGAAGAAAGTGTTTTAAAGTTTCTTGGAGCATTAATTACAATTGAAACTAACAGGACATTCAGGATCAATATGAAAGTTTCCATTCATGGCAAAGTGGTGACAGATTCCCAAAGTAGGATAGCTTTTAATGTATTATAAAACTTTCACATTTTAGTTGCATAAAATGTGAAAGTTTCAAAATAAGTTTATTAACCATTATCTTTTCTCTAATATACCCAACAATGCACACTGGGCCTGAGTGTGGTATGTTACCGTCCCTTCTATGTATTTGTATCCATATGAATGTTTACTAAATTTTTTTTTTATTTAAAAAGAAAAAATAAGCATAATCAAAAAATACTGTGAAAAAATTTCCTAAATATTTCAAATAATTTAACTTCACATAGTTTCTACCAATACCTGACTATTCTGCTTTTGTATTTACTCAGTTTATGGAATGTGATGTTAAGAAGAGCATCTTATCTATTAGCTCCAATACGGTCAGCGCTGATGGCATCAGCTGTAACATGTTGATACTTATTCGCAATGTCATACTTCCTGTCCTCTCAAAATCTTTCTTTCCTTCTGCTTGGAAAGACACTCAAATTATTTGTCTTCCTAAAAAACGCCTTCCGAAATCCTCTCACTTTAGACCATAGTTTCTCAACCTTATTTTGCTTACCGCCCACTTATATATTTTTTTCTAGAGCCTCCCATCTTAATTTTACCACGATTATACTTAAACGTAAGATATTATAGTCGTAAGATAGGACTTCTCACTTATATAGTTTATGTTAGACAGGCTGATGGGCGGCCCAGAATGTACCTTAGAAGTGTGGACGATATGGTTGGTGTTTTTGGTTTGGGTACGGTTAGTTCTGAACTTAGTAAATAATAAAATTTGTTATTTGTTCAACTATATATATTTAAATAATCATTATAATGCTTTATGTAGTAATAACTTCTTTTCAACATTAGTATTATTTTATTATTGTCCTTTTTTGTTAAATCGTATTATTAAGATAAGTTCACTGTCTTTCTTTGTGTATTGGTTGGTTGCTTACGTGGGATTTGCATCATCTGTGCCGATCTGTAAAGTATATTTGATGAACTCAATGTTTTCGTTGCGCGGAACGTCCTTAGTGTCATATTTACAGTTATACTTAAATTATTCTTTTGAACTACAATATTATTTTCTTAAAACTAACATCTGTTACTTCAACGTTTTTGAACTACAAAATTATTTTTCACATTTACACACTTCATCTTATACAAATTTTTATCAGCTCGCATTTCGTTGTAAAGGCTACTTACATTTGAAATCTCATTATTTAAACACATGTATCGTTGTAGTTATTATTATATATATATATATATCGACGGCGAAGTGCCAATACCTTCTAACTAACACAGACAAAATTTTACACAAAGTGAAAAAAATGTTTAATTTCTTGAAAACGTTAAAATCAAGAAATCAATTTATATGGAGCACATATCAATATGACAGGCTTAGGTTTCAATAAAATATTAATTTGATTAATAATCGTTTAGTAGGTATTTGGTTAGATAGAAGGTATTGGTTTAACATCCTCAGTGATTTCATTAAATAAATTGTACGATAGAAGGTATTGATTTTAATTAAAACAATAATTACTTTGAAAAATTGCTTTTACGATTGATATTGTTGTATTGTTTCGAGTTGCGGATTATCTTGGGTTTATGCAGCCCAGTATCACTGCGACCATTGCTGATCTATTGTGATCTCCACATACTACAGTTCACGGTCAAGATTACATTCTACAAGGAACTGTAGTATTTTCTTGGCCGTAAGTTCTTTAATATCGTCTGGGTGCATCACGTGCTTTCCCAGATAGATACATCGTTTTCGCATTAGTGACGGGCAATCGGTCAAAATGTGCAAAGGTGTTTCTTCTTCCTCCTTGCATCCTCTGCACATTCTACTGCCGCTGATCCCCATATTGTACATGTGTCTGTTCAGTCCACAATGCCCTGTGAGTGCTCGTACTAGTGTGCGAAGGTGATTTTTGGTTAAGTTTAAGGCCTCTGATGCCGCCTTTTTGTTGAAGGTTTTAATCAGGGTCTTAGAGTGTTTCATACCGGGAGTGTTTCTCCATAGTTGAATAGCTGCGTAGTGGCAGTATGTTTTCAAGGTGAGCTGGGTTAGGCTTTGAGGGATGCCACAGAAAGGTTCTGGTCCGATAAGGGCGTCTTTAGCACCCTTCTTCGCCAGTTTGTCCGCCTGTTTATTGCCCTCGTGTCCAGCGTGACCTGGAACCCATCGTAGAACTACTTTGTTGTTGTTGCCCAAAGAGTTCAATGTCTGTTTGCAGTTCTCTACCAGCTTCGATCTAGTTATGTCGGAAGCTAGTGCTAAGAGTGCAGCTTGACTATCAGAGTGGATGTAGATAGTATGATTGAGGTAGTTATTTTGCAGATTGGCTGCCGCACATTCCAAAATGGCGTACACCTCTGCCTGGAATATTGAGGAGTACTTTCCCATGTTCAGACTTATAGCCTTCCTTGGGGCTTCTCCATGAATTCCACATCCTACCTCAGGACCGGATTTGGAGCCGTCAGTGTACCACTTTAGGCTTCCATTTTTCCATACTATACGATTGTTTGACCAGTCGTCCCTGGTGGGTATCTCCACAAGATATGACCTGTGTGAATCGATTCTCGGGGGCATGGTGTCAGTAGGCATCCCCAGGATTGGTATATTGCATATTGAGTCCTTCAGGTACCTCAAATTACCTGACAGCTATGTCTTCGCCTCCATGCTGGTAATCCTGTACATACTAGCCATGTACATACGATTGATATTACACCCTCGCAAGTGACGTGACGCAACCCTACCGCTAACTTCACCCATATCACGAGCCGCGGCGCGGCAGCCGCTGTGAAAAGTTAATCGGCAATGTTCCGCGTTGAGATGTAGTAGTCTTGTACGTAGATAGGAGAAATTGCCATAAATTATATACGCTAATTTAGTTAGAAGCTATTTCCACATTCATTTTTCTCCAGTTGTCGTAAAAAATACGGATAGGTGATTTCATGAACCCATGTGGAAAACGACCTTAACGTCAATGAAATAAAAAAGTCATTTTCTCGAAAAATGTTAGATAGGAGGTATTGGCACTTCGCCGTCGATATATATATATACACTTGCTTATTTTTCTACTCAGTATCTATACTTCTGATATCATAAATGCGACCTAACAAGTACTTAAATGTTGGCCTTTTCAATGCCGGTTCTCTAGGCTCAAAACATGACGAATTTGTTGCAGCCATGGATAGGATATCGGTTGACATAATGGCCATAAATGAGACCTGGTTGAGGGATGGGGAGGATGGTCGCGCTCCCTCAGTACCCGGCTACCGTCTGCGGCACCTCCCACGACCTGTTAGCGTTCGCAGTGGTCGTGGCGGGGGGGTAGGTTTCTATATTAAAAAGGGAATTTATGTGCGTACCTGCCCTATATCTGACACCCATAGTGTTGAGCAGATGTGGCTAAGTCTGAAGTCGAATTCTCTCCGGATTGCCATCGGCACTGCCTACAGACCTCCATGGATGGATCTAAATGTGTTTATTGATGCTCTCTCTCAGTCCATGTGCGGTTTTGCGCACCATGATCATTTCATTCTGTTGGGTGATTTTAATGTGGATATGTTAAATATTAATGCATATAATTATAAAATATTAACAAATTTCTTTGAATCCATGAATATCAAGCAACTAGTACAATCACCTACGCATTTTACCGATCATAGTGCAACCTTGATCGATTTGATTTGCAGTGATGCTAAAGTTAATAATTTGAGTGTCCATCATATACCTGACCTGGGAAAGCATGCAGTGATTATGGCTCAATTTTTTATTAAAAAAGAAAAACATCCTCCCTACAGTGTTTCTTTTAGACCATACAAGGTCATCATTACCGAACAGTTTGATATAGATGTGAGCAGGATTGATTGGAGTCACATTGAAGAATTACCTGATCTCGATTCAATGGTCGTTGCTTTCAACTCATTTGTCTTACAGCTGTTTGACTTACATGCTCCTCTTAAAACTGTTCACATTAAGGCTAGAACATACCCTTGGATCACCGATACCGTGAAGCAAATGATGCGAATCCGTGATAACGCCTATGCTAGATGGAAGAAAACTAAATGTGAATCCCATAAAGTATTCTATAAAGAAATGAAGTCTCTTGTCACATCTGCTATCTACCAAGAAAAAAAATGTTATTTCGAACTATATATAAATAAAAACAAAAATAATCCTAAGTTACTGTGGAACAATTTAAAAAAACATATTGAAATTAAGAGGAACAATGACCTACCTAGTTCATTTTCGGACCCTGCCATTATTAATTCTCATTTTTTGGACGTGCCTTGTACGTCGGATCCCAGCATCTCACAACTAACTTTCTTTGAGCATCACAGATTCGGAAACTCAGCTTTCACATTTGAATCTGTCACAGAGAGAACGGTTGCTAATGCCATTCAGTCTCTACACTCTTATGCCGTGGGCGTTGATGGGCTTTCTCTCCTAATGTTAAGGATGACTATGCCTCAATCCCTCAGAGCCATTACAGCCATTGTAAACAAATCTTTGTCTAGTTCTAATTTCTGTAATTTTTGGAAGGTGGCTCTAGTTAGACCTATAGCCAAAAAGGTAAACCCTGTCAATCTCGGTGATCTTCGACCTATCAGTCTCCTGTCTTGTCTTTCCAAGGTAGTCGAAAGGGTAGTCTACAACCAGGTTGTAAAATATCTGGAGGTGAATTCTGTGTTACCGTTACTCCAATCTGGATTTCGCAAAAAGCACAGTACTTCAACTGCGCTACTTAATGTGG